GCCCTCGACGCCTGCGTGGAGCGGGTGCTGGCAGCCGGGAGGCTGGGACGCGCTGCTCTCGCCAATGCCTCGGGGTCTGCCAACGCCTCGGACCCCGCCTGGGACTTTGCCTCTGCTCTCTTCTTCGCCAGCACGCTGGTCACCACCGTGGGTATGTGAGCTCTGCCCCTGCGTCCCGAGCCAGCTAGGACCGGTGTCCCCCACCTCGTCCCCACCCCCTAGGGACACAGGATGCCTCGAAAATACCCTTGTCCCATTTCTAATCCCCTCTGGACCGAAGATCTGAAAACGCCCAACGAGGACCTGAGTTCCACATTAGTTGTTCCCGCCACCCCCACAACCCCGCCAGGAAGCCTTCTTACAAGCTGCTCCTCCTAAACTGGAAACCCCCAACTCCTTCCAGTGAGCATTTGGGACCCCAATTCTCTGGTCTTAACTCTCCTGGGGACCCAAGTTCCGCAAGTACCTCTGGACTCAGACTCTTGCCGTGCCAGGACCCTGCCCTTATCTCTGGGCTCTCTGCTGTCCCCTCCAATGATGCAGTCCTGGGAACCCCCCGGGAAACCCTGCCCCCATCTCCTGACCCTGGAAACCCGGACCCTGAATCTTCCCCATCTCAGAGCACCATCATTCCTCCCAAGAGAAATCCCTCAGCACCCACCTGGGGTGGGGCCCCATGTGAGACGCCCACCCCTCTGGACCACTCTCCCGCAAGGGTCTTTGCCCTTCTCCAGACCAGGGACCACCCCCATCCCTCTCCTACCTCCAGATACAAGAGTCCTCACTCATCTTGACATCTCCCTGGTGTTGGGGAGCCCTCATGTAGGGTTGTCCTCCCAACAGGGACACCTTTTGTTCCCTCTGGATCTGGGTACCCCCTCCAACAGCCCCAGCTGTGTCTGTGTGAAAGGGACCCACCATGGAGGGGGCCAGAGCCTCCAGAAAGGACCGCTATTAATTCTTTCAGTTCCAAAACCACCTCCCGGCAGAACTCCGGGGCCCTTTTCAAATCAGCGACACCCCAGGACACATCTGTGAACCATGATACCCCTCAGTAAGAGCCCCAGGAACACCTCAATCTCCTATCAGGGACCCCAGCATCCTCCCTGCTGTCATGAGAACAGAATCCATCTTCTACCCTATCCCACCCCCAGGATACCATCCCAGGGTCTCTGACCCGACACCCCCGTTCACCTTGGATTTCCCAAATAAGAGAACCTCCTGGGGACCTGACCCCTCCAATAGCCTTCAAACCCACAGTTGGTAACTCTCACGTCACCCCCATACAACTCTGGTCTGTTTTGGACCTGAAATTCTCACCTCCAGGATGCTCCAGGCCTCCCACACCCCAGAGTATCCCCAGTATCCACTCAAAACCCCTACGACTTGGAGCTGAGACACTGCCCCCCACAACCTCCTTAGCAATATCTACCCCTGTCACTGCCCATAGGCATCCTGGGCTCAGAGCCCCCTCCACCTGAGACCTCTTATGACCCAGAAAACACCTCCAATTATGCCTGTCCCTGCCTTCCTTTGGACCCATGACCCTAGCCCTAAACCAGGACATCGGCCCTTGATTTAAGATTATCAGCTCCAGGGCCAGGAGGTATAGTGGTTAAGGTGCTGGGCCCCACGTGGTCAGCTGGAGTTTGAGTCCCAGACCCAGCACCTTGAAATTCACACTGGGTGTGTGCCCCAAATCCCAAGAGAGAATGGATAAAAAGGGATTGTGGCTGGCCATAACCCCTGGAGGGTGATTTCTCACTTTCTCTGTGACTCTGGTGAGTGCACCTGCCCTATAGCAAAAATCTCAAAGAGAAAAAAATAAGTTTACCAGCTCCCAGACTGTCTTTTTCAAACCCGCACTCAGGTGGGACCGACCCAACCTCCACCTACTCCAGCTCTTGAGAACCTCAGGCTCTGGAAAATCCCTTCCCTCCTTCCTCACACCCATAGACTCAGGAAATCCCTTCACTGTTGGGTTTTGCTGCTCTCCCAGCCCCCCAAGTTCCTCATTGTGTTTGGGATTTGGAACCGGAGGAAGCTGGGCAGGGCCAGCCCAGACTCCTGGCTCCCCCTTCCAGCCAACAGCACAGCAATAGAGGTGAGTTTTGCTTTCGGTGCCTCATGGTGAGGCCTGGCAAACCAAGGTCACACACAGGCTGCTTGCCTGGATGCTTCCTCACCATGTGGAATTAGCCCACCTCCCTGGGGCCCGAGCTCCCCCACTCTGCCTAAGCCGGCCAGACCTGTTTCTCACCTTCAGGGGAGGCTACCTGAACTTTCCTGGGATGCGTTAGTGCCACCCTCTGCCTCCTCCCAGATCCTAGCTTCTAAGGAGTCAGCCTTGGCAGAGCCTGGGGCGGCGTCCCTGCTCATACGCTTGCTCTCGCTCGTATGTAGACCTCAGTGCCCTCATCTGTCCAGTGGGGACAACAACAGGCCCTACTTCACAGTAATGGGAATAGCCTAGCCTCGCAGAGAACTACCACACAAGGTGCCTGAACTCCCTTCCTCAGCACAGCAGCCTATGAGGCGGTACCGGTCTTTTGTTGTGGTTGTTGTTGTAGAGATTTTTGCTATATGGCGTGTGCGCTCACCAGAAAGACAAAGAGAGACAAAAGCGAGAAATCACCCCCCAGGGGGGATGGTCACGCCGCAATCCCTTCTCCTCCATTCTCCTCTCGGGATCTTGGGCAGGCACGCACATGTGCCCGGTGTAAATTTAAGCCACCAGGTCTGGGACTTGAACTGCAGTCGACCACGTGGGAGTGCAGTGACATAGCCATTAAGCCAACTGCTGGTCCCTGACTGGGTCTTTTTTAACAGTGAAAATGGAGGCCCAGAGAAGTTGCACAAGATTACACAGCCAGGATGGTAGAGAGTAGAAATTTGAACTGAGAAAGAAAAGCAGTTCAGAGCAGTCTGGAATGTTAAGTCCATTTAAGTTTTTTTTTTTTTTTTTTTTTTT